ATTACTAGACTACGGCTCTTTATGCAAAATAAAGACGATCGAAGTTAATTGTAAGAAATATGAATTATATGCAAATTTTGTTGACATTTTATCATAAATCGTCAATCATAATAAGTTGAAAATAATGTAACAATATTCCTTAAATTTTTCTTATGTCTTTTCAGTTTCGTACTGGTCCTATTCCTTTTCGCGCATAAATTCGTAAAATTCGCCATCCGTAAGCGCAGTACCGTTATCGAAGCCGTAGCTGTCTCAAGTCTCGGACAATGAAAGTAATAAAAGACATTACCGTTTTAGTAATCCCTTTACGGTAAATCCCTGACTGGTTGCCTTAATGCGTTGCTGTACAGGCAACCGTCTGAGAAATTTGTCAAAACAGCTAACCAGGAAATTTCGAAAGGGACGATCGGATGGTCCCTGTTTATTGGTGCCGGAGGACCATATTGAAATGCAAGGCATATATTGGCGCGAGACAATCGAGTAATTCCGACGAGCCGGGGACAGGTAGGCGGGCATTGTGCGCCGCGTATACCGGCAGGGACCAACGGTACTCGTGACAATGGCCGAGTAGACCCACGTATCCGCCTTGCCCCAAGGCCGGCACTAAACGCGGATTATCGGACAGCGTCGACACTTTCGCCCTGACCCATCGGCATCGTAATTGCCTTAATGAGCTCGGATGCCACCCCGGATGAACCGGCGTAGAGAAACCGTTACTTTTCCCATCGCCGGTGCCGTACCTTGGCCGGCTATGGATTTCCCGTCAAGTCCTTGGGTTAATTTCATGGAAACCGTATGCGTCGCTGTCCACTTTTGTCCTCGTTTCCTTTGATTCGAAGCTCGCAACAGATTAGCCGAGGTAATTCGACGTCGTTGCCAGCCGTCCGAACGGTCCACGCATCGTTCATCTGGCCGGGAAATAATTGCCGCGACCTGCTCGACGATCAAACCCCGGAAAATTGCATTTCATTTCGCCCTTTCTCCGACGACGAACTCGTTCGCCCGATTTCCTCGAGCAGCCGCCGATTCAGTCGTAATTATTTGTTGTATGCGAGACCGAGATTGAACGTCCATGGTGCCTGTACTTTTCTAATCGAATCGAAAGGCTCGGCTGGGACCATTTATCGATCACTTGCACGATTTTTATGAGAAATTGATGATTCGTGTAGTTTCGAGGTCGATGAATTTCAATATGTTGTCCGAAGTGCAACATTCGTAATGGTAAATTGGACACTGATCACACGAGTTATTAGTCTTATTATGCTATTAATTTTTAGAATGTTTGTTAAGATCATTTTTAAGATATCTTTATTCAGAAATTTTTGTTAATATTTGTCGGTGTCTTTTCATTGAAAGGATTATTACTTGCGATGTAATAACATTTATTTTCGATTCCTGTTCCCTCGGGAGTTGACGAAGCTTTTCCGAGGGTAGACAAAGCTACATTTTATATAAAAATTATATACAAAATTTGTATATAATTTAAAATTATTTACAATTATATTATAATTTATATTAACCAAAGAAGCAAAGATTATTTTATCTTGTTACACTGTTCTATGAATGGGACAAAGTGCACACTCTTTAAAAGAATTAAAAATAAAACAAGGAAACGCAGATAAAACTCATTGACGCTATGCATTCTTCTAGAATATTTCTTTGGAATACTTCAAAGCGGAATTAGAGATAGCTCGATCAATTGTTTTGCTATCTCGTCCTAAACAAAAGCGTTTTGTTCTTCTTTTTTGTTTTTTCTATTCCACTTCCGAAACACGTGTAATGAATCGTAACATTGCCACGAGTTCACCGAGTGGTCCGATATCGGAAAGTTGCGCGTATTGAATTCCGCCGGACCATCCGGGCGATACGAATTATGTCACGGGGAGGAAGAAGGCCGGGGAAAGGGCGGAGAGACAGAAGTACCGTAATCTTCCTCGCGACCAGGAAAATCCTTCGTCGCTGTACCTTTTTCCCCCCATTGTTATTTAATCCGACGTTAAATTGCATTTGCCGCTGCGAGTTCGCCGATGCGCCGTCCTCCCCGGTCCCGGCTGCATTTTTATCCGCTGACCGGATATCTATTAAACGATGCAACCTTCGATGCGACGACGCGAGCCGGTTTTTTTTTCGCGTGCTCGACGGCGGAGCCGAGATTTGATCGGCAAATTATTTCCCGATATCCGCGGGGCCGGCCGAGCGAAATTGAATCGCTGTTTATCGGGAAACGGTGGGACAAACGAAGGATCAAATAATTATTGTAATGAGAGGAGAACACCAGGGACGCGCCACGCGCAAACGCCGGCGGAAATAAAGAGCGGCAGCCGAGAGAAAAATGTCAGTGATTGTTTGGGAAACATCGATCGACCTCGCGCGGACCGGCCGGGCCGTGATTTAGAGAGTAAATTCGCGAAAAAGGCTCGAGCCCGAAGCTGTTCGGAATATTAAAAAAAAGCTATTGACAGAGCAAATATCAATAACGGCGAGCTGCGGTAGTCGGGACATTTGGAAAACGCGCGGTCGGGGACGGCCTACGCTTTACCTTTCGAATCCGTGAGGCGGATAAAAAGCGTTCGAACATTTTGCGGCCGGCAATCAACTTATCGAACGAACTCGTACGATGTTCCCGTGTTTCTTTGTGCGGTGGAATTCAAGCGATCACCGCCGGGTCGCAAAAGCTTCGCAGAATCCAACAGCGAGGACAGGCGTCCTCAACTCGTTCCAAAGCGGCCGGGCGATCGTCGACTCGCATCACTAGCGAGACGCGCGGGTTCCTCGAACGATATCAATGTCCCGGGGAATCAGATTAATTTCTGAGCAACGTCTCGCTTCCGACGTTAACCAGATATCCCGGTGTAATCCTATCACGTGCACTCCTTGCCACGGGGTCGCGGTAATTTTCACGTCTTCGAGAAGCGACGAGGAAAATTCCTCTAAATTGCGGTCGCCTCGCGTTCGTCCGAGTCATACAAGAGCAGCCGAAAAACATCAGAAAGTAGAAGGCTAACGTGATCAAGAATTTTACAACGATATCTACAGCAATTTTTACAGCAATTTTTACAACGCGTATCCATGAACGTAGGAATTCCCGGTTTCGCGGAAACGCGCGTCGACGTTCGGAGAATGCGGCGAAATTTCTTGCAGAGATATATAGCAATTTTACTCGCCGTTACAGTGATTCCATCGCACCGATTCGGATCCATCTCCTGTAAAGCTCGGCGTCGCGTAAAATGAATTGTTTACGACGCTGTTGATTTCTCGAATCGGCGAACAATAGACAAATCCGGACAATGTCTGATCGAGCTGCAGAGTGTTGCTCTATTTCTGATCGATACCGTTTCGTCCTAGTCGCGGATAACTCTGTAAGCGGAAATCTAGCGAGGCCCGGCTTCGGGGAAATCGTCGAGGAGCTCGCCCCGCAACGGGTTGCAACGCGGTGCAAC